TTCTGGTACTTTTGCACTGTCTAGGGAGTATAGCTAGTCTCACAAGTCTTTTTTTTAACCTATTTTTAGACATATGTTTCAGCCATCATTTTCAAGCCATCATCAACAAGGAGTAAGGAGGGGTAGAATATATATTGAGAAATGATGGTCTGAGCCACAGCCACACAACTCATAATGCTGATTATAGGTTAGAAAGAATCACAACAAGGAAGCGCATTCAGAAATAATGAGGATGATGAATGAGTGTGGCAAATGTGTAGAGAAGGCAAAGCTGAAATGTTGCAAAACCAACAGTGATGCAAGGCAGGGGCAGCCAGCTAGATTAGCATGGATCTGATGTTGTTTGCTTTGTTTGCAATTTAGATTTATTGTCGTTTAACCGATACTCAGGTACACTGCGTTCTCGCCGGTCTCAGTCTCCATAACTTTCGTGACCCACATAATATACATAACAGACCAGAACACCACAGTGGAAGACCCATTCAGCACAGTAACATTGCTTTTACGGTCTAAGTGTTGTACTAAAGCGTGGCAACAATCTTGTAATATTCAGTCTGGCTCAGTAACTGGTTTTGTTATCATCCTATAAATTTAGCTATGCTGACATTGCTGAGCCTCTGTAATGAAAGATACATAAATAGTCATTGTAAAGCTTGAACAATGCAGTCAATGCAACGTGATCATGTAATGAGCATAGATTAGTTCACCGTCAAGCTGAAAGCTGAAAAATATTACTGTAATGTCGCAGTGGGAGCTTACCTGAATTTCCAGCATTTTGGGTGACGCTGTTTCTGATGTGTAGGTCTCTGTTTTGGCTTGCTCATTAGTTTGAGCATGCGCAGAAGTACACTTGGGAAGGTAGTGGTTGCGATCCTAAACCGGACCGCTAGAGGCCACTGAAAACTACACATGGACCCTTTAAAAAGGCAAAATTCCTGTGCCAAGTTCTTATCAACTTTTAAAGAGGAGCCATAGAAAGCATCCTGACTGGAAACATCACAAACTGTGGGTGCAGTGGGTGATTAAAACTGCATTGGTACCCATTTACCCAGCATCAGTGATAGCAGTGAGGTGAGGTAGCTGCAGTATTCGCCACAGCCACAGCCTGTTCACCTTGCTGCCATCTGGCAACACATACACAAGTGGATAACTGTAGGATCTGTACTACCACTACGTGCTGCACGGCACACCAACCCATCCAATCTACTCTACCCAAAGCTCTCTACCTACACAGACCTTGAACTGATGTGAGTACTTTGTAACTGCCAATTAGCAATCAAGAAGGCCGACACCATTTCAGCCTACATCCAACCAGAGAAGTTGCACTCACCTGAATTTATAGACTTTTTCGCTAACCTAACACACTCCCTTTTTCCTCCCACCCACAGGGCCGGGAGCCAACTAGACATGGTCTTTACAAGGTCCTGCAATACCTGTGTCTGACCACCTCTTTGCCCTCTCTCTCCAGTTAAAGACCTCCATCTTCCTCCTCATCCTGCACTTCCCACCATAACCTAAAATCTCTCACTCCCTCTACTCTCTCCTCATCAGACTTCACTTCTACTGTGGCAGTAGCCAAATCTGCCTTCTATCTGACCCAAATCAACTCTTCTGCCTCCAACCCCAGGAAAATGTTTTTCATATTCTTTTCCCTCCCAACTTGGCGTAGTACTGGACAATGAACATTAGTCAGACCTTATGACCCAGCTTGAGCACTCTGCTCAAATACCTCTGCTGGCTGGCTGGTACCATCATTGCTCAACTCTTCTCTGTGGTGTAATGTGCTCTCGCCTGTTACGCACTTAAATATATATATATATATATATATATATATATATATATATATATATAAAAATGTATATATGTATGTGTATGTATATTTATAACATAAAGACTGAACAACAGTGGCCCAAGTATAGATCCTTGCGGAACATCAGTATTATTTGTATAAGCAGTGGATTTATGATTTTGAACCTTTACATAATTTGTTCTTCCCTTTAGATATGAATCAATCCACTTAATGGTATCATTGGAAAAATTTAAAGAAATTAATTTGTTAATAAGTATTCCATGATTCACAGTGTCAAAGGCCTTTTTAAGGTCCAGGAAGATTGCCCCCACAGTACCACCCATATCCATCATGGATTTAATGTTTTCCAGAAGAAAAAGGGTAGCAGTCTCTGTTGAATGGTGAGCTCTAAAACCAAATTGCAAAGGATGCAGGCTAAAGTCACTGTTGTTCAAATAAAAGACTATTAGCTCTGAAACCCACTTCTCCATCACCTTGGATACAACAGGCAAAATAATGATAGGTCTGTAGTTACTGATAATCTGGGGATCTCCTGCTTTAAGAATTGGTGACACAATAGCAGTTTTCCATGTGTTTGGAAAAATCCCTTGAGATATTGAGAGGTTTATGATATTTGTAATGGATGGACCTAAGCAGTCCTTTAACTACTCGAGCATTATAGAGTCCATGCCGTAGCAGTCCTTAGCTTTGGAAGTCTTAAGTGTTTTAATTATGATGAGATGTTACTTATACAGAATTGGGGTTTGGAAGTTTGGAACTGACAGACCACTAAAATGTTATCATCTGTTTCAGTAAAACTTTGAGTAATCTCATCTACAGAGTCTATAAAGTATCTTTTAAAGGCTTTAGCCATTTCAAAGGGATCCTCAGATATTTTACCATGTAGCTTTAACTGTAGTTGCTTTGAAGATCCACTGTTATTTACACCAATTAATTTCTTAATATGCTCCCAGATTTGTTTAGTATTACCTCTAGACTCATTAATAATACTAATAAAAAAGTTTGCTTTAGCCTTTCTGAATTCTCAAGTAGAGAAATATATGTGTGTGTGTGTGTGTGTGTGTGTGTGTGTGTGTGTGTGTGTGCATATATATATATATATATGTATATATATATGTATATAAAAATAGTACATAGCACTGTGTAGCATCTCAGCCTTGCTATCTTTGCTACCAGCAATGGCTAACCTTTGAGTCCTTGAAACTTGTTCTGTTGACATCCTTACTCTACTGACAGCGATCTATTGCTTTTTCCCTTTCTTTTGACTAATGTACTTATTGTAAGTCGCTTTGGACAAAATCATCTGCTAAATGTACTAAATTTAAATTTCTAGGACCACCCATCTAGTGTATATAATTTCTACATATAATGTTTGCTTTTTGTGAGTAGCATAAAGGGAACTACAACGTCATCTTTTTATACAACCCAGTGTTGTAAAATAATAAATATATCAACTTTGTACCTTGTACCTTGAGCAAGTTAAAGCTATTAGATATCTTGGTGTTTGGTTTCATGAAAAGCTCACATGGAATGTTTACATAAAGTTCAGAGCAAATGTAAAAAGGTCATCAATATACCTTGGTCTTTGTCAGGAGAGGAGTGGGGAGCATGTAGAGCTGCTCTACAATATACACTGGCCACTCATGAGATCTGTTTTGTGGCGTATATGTCAGCCGCAGAATGAGTCCTTAAAAAAGTGCCAGGCCCTGACAATCTGTAGTAGATCATTCAAAACATCTCTAGTCTCAGCCATAAAGGTGGAAACAGGAGAATGCCTTTAAGGATCAGAAGAGTGAAGTTTATGCTGGTATACTGGGTTAATCTCCAGGGGTAATGTGGTACTCATCCTGCCAAGAGTCTTTTAACACTGCTGGGAACATAATGAGACAGATTTCACAAGTTTGGGTTGAATTGGTGATGCAAAAGCTGAAAACATAGGATAACGACAATTACAGTACAGTTTCCATCATTTCTCTCTGGTTATTGCCCATGCCAAAAGTAGACTTCAGCATACAGGAGGAATTGAAGAATAACAAATTAGAGCAACTTCCAAAATAGCGCATAGGCCAGAACTATTTTGATCAGATTTTTCAGACTTAGTACTTGTATTCACAGATGACTCCACATATCCTGATACAGGATGAGCAGGTGCAGCAGTATATATTCCATTGAGTGATTCATTAAGTAAAGAGTATCAAACTATTTATCAATATATACCACAGTGCTGTTGGCAACACTACTGGCCCTGCAGTGGATATAGAACAAAATAAATAACACCATTATTGCATCTGACAGCTTTTCAGCACTAAGATCTGATCACATAGACAAACAACCATGCGTGCGCACACACACACTTTAGAGCTACCAATTAACCTGGTACGCATGTCTTTGGAGCACCCCGGGGAGAATATGCTAGGTCCACACAGGCTGGGGCGACTGGGATTTGAACCCACAACCTTCTTGCTGTGAGGTGACAGTGCTAACCACTGCACCACCGTGCCACCTGCATGGATGTTATTAATATTCCTTACAATGTACTGGATGAAAATTAAGGGTATATCTACACACTTCTTTTGGGTCCCAGCTCATGTTGGTGTGGAGAGAAAGGATCGGGACAACAGTCTGGCCAAACAAACATCAACCATGTAGACCTACAAGCTCCATTAAGCAAAAGTGAAGCTTAGACATTCATTAGGATATATGCACAGCCAGTATGGCAGGCGTATTAGGATAACCGTGAATCTGGAAGACATCTATATGATATACAAAGACATGATGGTGCTGGGAGGATGGTGGGCTGGAAATAAAGGGAAGAAAATATAATCACTTGCCTGAATAGGTTATGCAGGTCTCAACCATGCACCCAACTGGAAAGTGCACACATTGTAGCCAACCAGAAATAGGCTAGTAGAACATGTAGTCTACTTCATAGTAAAAACGTTCTTCAGTCACTAAGGAAGGCAAAACACCATGCCTTTTCATTGTCAGGTCTCTTTAGGAAAACGACAGGGCAGATATACTGTGACATTAAGTTTTAAAATAAACTGATTTAGATAAAATAAACGAGTTATCCTCCCTGCATAATCTGTTGTTCCACACTCCAGTCCAGTTGGTGGCGGTAATGTGCCTTGAAGATGGTTTGCCAACCGCCAATAAACACTAAAGAAGAAGAAGGAACCAAGCGCGAAGAAGAAGAAGAAGACCTCGAGCAAATAAACCGGTCGTTGTGTTGGAAACATGGCGGCCTTCAGTAAATATGTGACAGCGAAAAACTCCTCCATAGCGGGCGGCATTTTGCTTGTTTTATACCTGCTAAAACACAGAAGACGGACGTCCAAACAGAACAGGTAAGTGTGCGTCAGTATAGAATGCTGAGACTTGCTTTCTGTCAGGATGCTAATTAGCAGCTGCTAGCTCCCCAGTCTGACAGTTGACAGCGACCTGCTGCTGGGACGCTCCTGATTTCATTCCCATTTTAGTGAGCAGGCGGCTTCTTATTCTGCGCAGTTTGGCCGCCTTGCTCACTGATCCAACCAGCTCAAATGTCAACTCAGTACAAGCAACAAACGTTGATGTTTTCCAATCATAAACACAGTTAACATTACACAGATTGCTGCACATCCATTAATTGGCAGTTTGTGTAACTTCGGCTAACTTGGTAATAACTTAATCGTCAAGTCTTTATGTTGAGCTCTGACTGCGTGTAAAGTTAAGCTGTCGATAGAATTTATTAATTTATTTTAATCTCTGACATTGTTCTAAAAATCGATTATCTCCCTTGGAGAGAATAACTAGATGCGCCAAACTCAACTAACTTAGTTGGAGTAACGTTAACGTTACCAGGTAAAAACCACCTTTAAAAATAGTGCACAACAGCTCACAATTGTTATAAGCCACTTTATCAAATATGTTTCTGAATTCTAAAATATGTAAGTAGTTGTAAATGCTATGAAAATACGTTTATAAGAACAATTCATGAAGAAAATGACAAGCTATCCCTGTTATGCAATACTGTTTGCAACTAACGTTACTGGGACAAGTCTTTCAAAAGAATGTATAAGTTACTGTATCTACAGCATCATTACAAAAAATGAATTGCCTTAGGCAATATAGACCTTGGCACTGGGATTGACTGTAATCTATAATTGAAGAATTTAACTTTGTGTGATTACATTCACTGTATTTTTAGTAGGGCTGCACAATTAACAGAAATATTAACGAAATCGCATTATGACTAAGTGAAATATCCAAATTGCAGAAGCTGCAGTTTTTTCATGAAGGTAAAATGTGTGACAAAACAGCATTATAATACTCGTGCTCTAGTGCTGCAGAGATGTCCCTGTCTACAAATCTTGTTCTCCAGATGTAAGAAAACATGTTTGTTTGGTGCAGACCCCAACAAATGTCACATCATCGTGATTCAGATTCCGATTTTCGTTGACAATGAAAATTGCGACGCAGAATTGATCGTTTCTACAAATGGTGAATCATATCGCAGAAACCTATTGTTTTGGTAAGGATTATTATTATTTTACTTTGGTAACGCATTTTTGAGTGGCTTAGGATACCTGAAAACTCACGAAACTTGGCACACGCATCAGAAGGCATGTTTTTGTCATCAGATATGGTTCAATGTATGGGTGTGAAAAATTGCTCAATAGCAACAGTTGAACCAGTAAATATTTTGATTTGATGTTGCATTTAGGCTTGGGGGGTGCACGATGGCTCTATAGCGCCCCCTAATAACCATTTAACCTTAAAACAGCTATGGATGCTCAAAAACTCTCAAAACCTGGCACAATCACACCAATTTTCTCCTACAGAATTAATCCGATGAATTCTGAATTGGAGCAGTGCAATCATAAGACCTCTGCAATGCTAAATTGCAAAGCTTTTGAGGATTTGTCAAATGCCGTTACCGTGGCGATGAAGCAAATTTTGATGTTTTGATTTTCCAAAATTAAGCATGAAATAAATTCCAAAAGTAAGCATGCTAACATGTTCAATTTCAAAATAAGTAACTGTTGCACCTTGACCACACATTGTCAGATCATGTTGTTGTTGTTGTTATTATTAAATTATATTATTTTATCACATGCATGCATTACCAAGTTCACTGATTTGCATCGTTGGCTACAATCCTCCAATACAAGCAGAGACATTAAAGGAAAGGCAATCTCATTATAAAATGTTATCACATTCATGCCTAATTAAGGACCCCACACTGACCTTTAATCAATATCTTTAATTCCACAACATAATATGTCTGATTTAACTATTGTTCTTTCTGTGCAGTATAAAAGGAGGCTCAAATCTAGTGGTGAACAATGAGGTATGTCAGTCAGTCTTTCATGTTTTGAGTGTCTGGAGCCTATAATTTTTTCACAAAATTTGTCATAAATAGTTAGCTGTAGTTGTATCACAGCCCATCTTTATGTCTCTTCATACAGAAAGATAGTAGAAAAGACCGTGCAGCAGTGGACAAAGTTTTCTTCCTCCGAACCCTCCAGATTCTGCGGATCATGGTACCTCGAGTTTTCTGCATGGAGGTATGACATTGAACTGCTGTTAGGGTGGTTTTGAGTTTACTATGTTATACTATATACTATGCTATGTTATATTTCCAGTAGTGATCCAGACCAGTGTAGGATAGTTAGACAAACTGGAGAGATCTCAGGGATAGTACATTTTTTAGTTTATATGCTCAACAACATGGAGGCATCCCAGCTGGCTGATTCAAACCAAATAGTTAAATGAACAATATTTGCATATTCATAGAATCAGGATTTTTCAAAGAGGGAGAGTGTAGATGTAGGGATGGGCACTGAAACCTGGGATTAAACTGGTCCCATGGCTTAATTATTTAAGACCTTAGTACTGATAAGTTCCAACGTTAACAGTTCTTTTCTTTTTCTTTTTTTTAAAGTCTGATGTTTATTTATTCAGTTTCTCATCTTACAATATGACACATGAAAACATCAGTCATTAAGCTATGAGGTGCTTAGAAATAAGTTTTTGGGAATAGCTGTTGTATGTAAAACTACATCAATTTGGCACAGTTGAAATTCCTCTGTACATTTCACAACATTGACATGATGATATGGGGGGAAACGAGATAAAACCAAAAATGGATCAATAAAGATAAATACATAACAGTAACCATAGAAAAATAAAATCACATGATTGCGTGTGTTTGTGTCTTATATTGTCAGAGTAGGAGACCGACGAGGCTGGTGGGGAGCTATGGGGAACCAAACAGAACTAAGAGAATACTGGCAATTAAAATAATAATAATAAATAAAAATGTATAATAATAATGATGAAGAAACATAATTTGTGTTTTATTTTTTATTATTAAATGTTTTAAATTGATTTTGTCATGTGTTGGTTCTGTTTTCGGTCGCCCGCAGACCCTTTAGGAGGGGACAGCCCAAAGTGGCCTTGTGTGGACGAAAATGCCTTGGGTCCCCAGAAGCGGGATCAAAGATATCTGTGATAAATGAATATTGTCCGATAATATCAACCCAGTCAATGTATGATAGCATAGTGTAGCACCACAAATCCCAATGTTTTCCCAGCTCACTGCTGTTGTTTTGATATTTGAAGGTGAACTGTAGTTTTGTTAGGAGCTTTTAGGAAAAACCAAACGTCCTATTATAAATCTTGATTATGCATTATATTTGACAGTCTTGCATAGTTTACTTTATCCTAACAGTGATTACACTTCTCTTAGGATCCAAACCTCAAAATACTGATTCTGATGTGATTTCTGATGAGTTTTTGTTGCTTTACTGAATAAAGTTATAATTCTATCTGTACAGCATCCGATCTGCTAGTGGAGGTCAGTATGACCTCTTCGATGTTGATAAGAACATGTGAAACAAAAAGAAGAGCCCTTTGACACACATACATCAACCACATCAGTCACATACATAACCCAAGGCCACAGCCACTTGGCGATCATTTCAGTAGATATGAGCAGAGTCAAGGGCAGGACAATAAAGTACTTTATGATCTGCAGTGTTTTACAGGCTTTACTAAGGCTCTACTAATTCTGTGGTTGTTGTCTTCACCACAGACTGGCTACCTTATCCTTATCGCCGCCATGTTGGTGGCCAGGACCTACTGTGATGTATGGATGATCCAGAACGGCACCATGATCGAAAGGTTTTGATTTTCCAGTTCATTACTTTAAAAGCATATTGTGGGTTTTGTGTTGTCACCATGTAGCAGCCATGTCAATCCTATCGGTTCTGAATGTCCACCCAAAATCCACCACTGACTGACCGTAGAATAGTATGTACTATGTACAGAACAGTTTTTTTGTTTAGTTTGTTTCAGCACGCTGGATTTTAGAGGCTCATTTCACCCCCAAAACAAACAGTGGTATATAGCCATGAAAATGTTTTGCTTTGTGTGCAAAGTTTTGATTGTTCCGCCTCTGAAAGTTGTCTCAACCCCAATACAATAGAACTTTTTCTGTGCTACTCAAAACATAAAAACCATTATCAAAAATACTACTCAATATTCACTGGGAACTATCTGACCATTTTTCGAAACATTTGCATGTTCCTGCTGGTCATTGATAGACTTGACTCGCCATTACACTGTTACTGCAATGCTTAGTGCTGATACAAAGTCCTGACCCTGGTTCCAGATTCCACAAAGTTAAGAAAGAATAAAATTCTGACATTTCTGTGGAGGTTGTAGCCCAAAGTGTGTAGCCTAAAAACATCAGTTATTGCCACATACCAATAATAATCTTTAAGTCAGTCATGGTATCAATCTGTTAAAAAATATTGAAGCCAATGCAGCTGAAACAGACATGTTATCTTTTTCTTAAGTACCATAGTATTGAAAATGGGAAGGGTGTTCCATCATGCATTGCTGTTGGATTATTTGCAGGAACTAATTACTTTGTTTTGATTCTCCCACAGTGGTATTATAAGCAGAGACATCAGTCTATTCAAGAAGCACTTTTATTCCTACATATCAGTCATACCAGGGGTAACAGTTCAACACCTGGATTCTCATAGATGTGGAAAACTAAGCTTAAACCACTGAAGCTTGGCATACACTGTACGATTTGAGCCCATTTAGGAACGGATTTGTACTTTTAGAGGTGGATTAGAGCTGAATTTCAGGATTGTCGGGCAGTGTACAGTGTGAAACGAGGGCCGATCGCCTGCTCCTGAACAGCCATTGTATGAATTTCGGACATGACAGAAACTTTGGTCGACTGTCAAAAGGCTGTCGCACAGCTGGAGCAGAGCCATGTGTCAATTCCCCACAATCAGGGCCTTTTTCTCTCACTGCATGAAGTCGTGAATAGCATCTGAAAATAGCATGGCGACATGATGCTAGCTATAGCTATCAAGTTAACGGTCTATAGAGTAAGACATAGCTAGCATACATCCAATTCTCTTCACCTTTTTTATTTTGTAATTTTTTTGAAGCTGTGGAACACAGGATCGCAGATGATCGAGGCAACTAGATTTTACCTGGCTTTCAAACAAATCTTTATTAACAATTGTCAATAACCAGAACGTTCCACAGGGGCCGACGGTCCGTTTTATACATGTACAGTGTGAGCACTCAGGTCGTGGTTTTACCATCAGCCTGTACAGTGTGAGCACGTAAATCATGAGCTTTGGCTTTACATTGCAGACGATTGACTCTTACAGTGTGTGTTAGATTTCTCAAACCATACAGTGTATGCCCAGCTTAAAACTGTAGCTTTAACGTCTTGCTTTGTAATAGTGTCATGTTGTGCTTTTTCATCACATTTCACACACATCATGTCTGAGGTCTACATATCTTTCCCAGCCATAATACTGAACTATGTGTTTAATCAGGTGGTATAATTTATATTGTTGGCATCCATTAACTGGAAAAGATTCACATGGAATTTCATTCAAATTATGTGTTTTATGATTTCACTGAAATGTATATTAATTCGTAACATCAAAAGTTCTGCTGATGTTATTAAGCAACCTGTTTCAGGAATTAACTTTTTCTTGATTTTAATTAATCGGGCTAAATGTAGTTTTCCCTGATGTTGAGTTGCTAATGTTATCTTCAAAATACTACAAATGCCACATTACTTCATCAGCTAACACTGGTACCAGTTATATGTCAAAGTGTTGACGGTAAAAACAAAATTTGGAACGGTTTGTTTAAACTAGCCTTAAGTGATGCAAGGTGGGGGCAGCCAGCTACTTTAGCATCAATCAAGGGACACTTTTTTTTGTAAGGGAAAATTTGTCAAGTATGTTATTCTGATTACAGGGTCCTGATCACAAACTGCAGTCCACACAGATATTGTGCCTCATCCAAGAACCGCTTGTACTTACAGATTCATTTTGAAGTGACATACAATTTAAGAGAATTTGTGGCATTCACCAATTTTATCATAACTACAGTTACAATATACAATACAGTTCAGTAGTAAAAAGGAAAATCCAAATGTCCAAAAAGTGAGTGTGAACCATAAAAATAACATGGAATACATAAATTGAATGGTATTCCTGTGTTTATATCTGTTTCATCACAGTACAATAATTCATACTCTGCTTCAAGTTCAACCAGAAGTTCTTGTTTTTGAGCAGTTTAGCAAAGCTGCACTGGTCCCACATGAAAAGGAAATTAAATTTATCAAGTCTCAGTATTTGTTTCACTGACTCTGTTGGCATTGTTTACTCATCTTTGTGCATGTTGTGGTTTGCAGTGCAATTATCGGTCGCTCGACAAAAGATTTCAAGACCTTCTTGTTCAGCTTTATCAAATTCATGCCACTTGTAAGTGTATTTTTTTTTGTTCATTTTGTCACACTCTTTAGTGTGATCTCAATTTCTATATATATTTTATTATTCTGTTGTCACACATCTGTAGTTCAGTGTAAGTTCATACATCTGCACATAGTTTTGGGTAGTTGACCTTTTGTTAACAATATACATAGGAAACCTTGATATGAAAAACATTTGTCTTTTGTGTAATTGCTAATTTCCTGGTGATAGTGGATTATTTTCATTGAATCATTTTATGCACTCCAAAAAGCTACCATTTGGCATGATTATTCTTTTGAGCTAACGTGCAGTGTATCACTGTAATGCAAATATACTTGCCTCAATGTTAAATGATAAGGCTGTCAATATTCTATATTTTTATTGTCAACAAATCCCATTAAAAGACAAAACAGCAATATGTTAGTCCATCTCTCAATACTTTGACTGAAGTACCTTGTCTGTGGCACATAGACATACATCTCTAAAATTGGCACATAAATATACAGTTTCATTTAAAAAAAAATTACTAATAATAAACAGCTGTCCACTGTAGTTTTTAACAAACGTTACTCAAACAGGAAGAACTTGTTGGGATTGAGTCAAAATACACGTGTTTGTGTGTGTGTGTGTGTGTGTGTTTTCTTTTTTCCTCCTTTGGTTCTTAATAGCTTTTGGACAATAATGGAGCTCTATGGCACAGACGAATAATATACTATATATCAGGCTTTGGATACACACACAATACTTAGTACGATACATCCATTTTTGTTTTGTTGACAATAAGAAAACATAGATTATCTCCAGCCTAATACTTTAAATTGTGAATTAAATTGCTGTTGTAAAATCACATTAAATATTCTGCGTTTGCATGTTTTCCTGTCCTATACCTAACAAAAAGATTTGCATGTATACTATAAGATTTCTAAAACCTGTCATGTGTGCAGCTGTACTGAAGCAATGAGCTCATTGTGAGAGTTGGGTGCATGTATCTCATGTGTGACGGATCATTCTAGATAGCCTTGGTGAACAACTTCCTGAAGTTGGGTCTAAACGAGCTGAAGCTGAGGTTCCGTGAGAGGCTCACAAAGAACTTGTACGACCAGTACCTGCAGTAAGTACTACAGCAGTACTAAAGCTGCTACGTAATTTATCAAACAGGATGACCTAATATTGTCTGGTTAATGCATTATCTTAACATAACATTGACATAATGAGCAGTTTAAAGACATTACCACGGGTTATGGGAAATTGTAATGGCCAATTTTCTCACTAAATTAATTGTAAAAATAATCAACACATTAGTTGATATCCACAAAAATTGTCAGTTCGAGCCCTGTAATTAATTTTACGGTGCTCTTCAGTTGGTGCCAACAGAAAGAAGAGGCACAAACAGGGTGACCTCCAAGAGAAGGCGACAATATACAATGTAAAACACTGTATTACTGTGTCAACGTTTTATCCCAGAACTTTTGATGTTGTTTCACTACAATCATCAAGGTATTTTAGAGAAGACACACAAATGTAGTGTCAGCATCAAACCAAAAATCTGAAAGTACGTCAGTGACACAATTAACCCCAGTTTGGCTGATTTCAACCTAGGGACCTTGATTTGTTTCATAGACAGATGCAATTTAGCAGTAAATTGCAACATAATGACTTGTTCTATGGTAAAAGAAGGAACCACGTAGTTATTCTAAGCTCTTGGTTTTTCTCGTTGTTCAGTCAAAAGTAGAAGCATGTGTTCTGTGTGTTTCCTGGCTTCTTTGAGTGTTCAACATGTGTTCTGGCTCTTCAGAGGTTTCACCTACTACAAAATGGGAAACCTGGACAACCGGATAGCCAATGCAGATCAGCTGTTGACACAGGATGTGGAGAGATTCTGCAACAGTGTGGTGGACCTTTACTCCAACCTCAGCAAGGTACCAAACTTTGTTGGCTCTAAGCTGAGTAATGTTATGCAATCTTCTAGATTGCACAGTGAATGAGAATTTTAGGATTAATAGATTTAAGTGCTGTGCAAGTCTTTGTCATAGAATGAAATGAGCTTCAGTGGCATCACCACTCTGTATGCCAAGCAGATAACTCATTTGTATGACACTCCACAGGCTCATATGCCTCAGCAGTGTGCACTGTAGGCACGCTGAGTGCCTACAGAGGTGCAGTTTGAGAACATCTGAAACCAGATTTTCCCAAATGATTTTGATTCCCAGAAACAATATCAATACATCATGATGATATGAGAACCTAAGTTTCCTGTTGCCATGGAAAATAGCAGTGTGCATGATGAGTGCAGGGCAAATCGGAAAACTGGAAGGGTAGCCCAGCAGTTTTTGCTGGCCCAGGAAGTGCTTCTCTGATTGAACTGAATTGATAAGAGCAATATATACCAATCAGTGAGAACAGTTTTTCAGGAAAAAATTAAAAATTCTAAAGTATTATTAAATCTGTCTGTCCTCTAGCCTCTGCTGGATATAGGTCTATACATCTTCAAGCTGACAAGTGCCATCGGTGCTCAGGTAAGCAGGTTATCTTATGCATGTTTTCTTCTGTCTATGGAAATACAATAAGGACAGTTTGTTGCCACGGTTGTGGCTTATGAAGTTATTGAAGTCGTCTTATAGGTAGTAAAGAGGTCATATTATACCTTTTTCCCCCTCTCCTTTAGTGAGTTATATACCTTTTTTGTGCATGTAATATGTTTGCAAAGTGAAAAAGCCCAAAGAGAGTTTACATCTCCCACAGAAAACCAGCCTTTTCTTGTGGGGGTCACACACTACACGAGCTAATGACGACTCTATCACCTGATGGCTGGTCTCCAAACCACGTTTTGTCAAAAAGCTTGGCAACTGGCAAATCAGGCTTTAAATTGTGTAGTATGTACAAGACTTTAGAATACTCACAGTACATCAGAGGTTAGCCGTCTAAACTCACATGCTTAAAAACATATCTGGGGATGAAAAATGATTCACCTTTAATTCAGGAAACCTTGCACGCTATAGGAAACTCTATTTATGTGCACTCCTAAGTTAACAACATAATCAGTCCTATCGTCACTGATACCCCTGTTTGTTATCTGTCATTAGCAATAATTTTACAAATTGTTTTTCAAGTTCCTTAAAATTTCAAAGATGCTTTACAAACTTTCTTTGAGTTTGCTTGCTCCTGCGATGTTAAGTGCACACTGCAGATCAGACTGTGCATGCACACAATGGAGGAAAGGAACAAAAATAACAGGAAAAACTAAAATAAGACTTGATTTTTTTTAAAAGCCTTCAAAAAGCAAAAATTTTTTATTCTGACTCGTTTTACAATTTTCTGGATCAAATTTAAATAAATAAAGCCAACTTTAATAACTTCATGACTAGCAAACAATGGCAATAACAAGTTTGTGTAGAAGCTGTGTTCATCACTTTCTAGTGTCCCCTGGAAACAGTGTCCATTGTTTGTGCTACTTGCAGTTTTCTCAATACTGTACATGTGTTGTCAAATTGATAAAGATGTTTTCTTGATTTTTACATGTGTTTTTTAAGGTGCAGAGCCACTGTAGTTTTTACATATACTGCATCACAATTAAATGCAAAACACACAACAGCATGTGTTTTCCTCCCACTGCATAGTAATCAGAAAACTGATTGTTTCAGTCTTGTCCAGCAGAGTTTATTCATAGTTTCCTGCCCTAGTCCGCGAGGGTCTGGGGAGACCCATGTGCGGGCATCCACGTGTATGGATATATATTGACAACAATTGATTTGAGAGAGTTTGTATGCCACTCAGTCTGCATTTGAGCATGCATAATGGTAATGAATAAACTAGACGACAGTAAGGGGATCAGTTGGATTGCTTGTTTTGTGTTCTGTATGTATGTATGTACTGTATGTACCCTACCCTTGGTCCTATTGTTTAAAGTGGTCACTTTAAAAAAAAAAAAAAAAAAAACTTTCATGTTTATGTTCTTCACATTTTGCAGCTTGTTTTGGACAAAATGTGTTTTGAAGCATTGCTTGGTGTCCCGACAAAGATTCACCAATGCTATACACCATATTACACGGGGACATATATTTTCTGGTGGTGAAAGGTGCACTCCGTTTTTTTACAGTGCAAACAGCTATTCCTGTTGATGTTTTAAGTTTACTGTTACGCTCTGAAACATCAGAACGAGTTAGGGGAGAATTTGGGACTTGGTTGTGCTCTGAGGTAAACTACATCTTATGTTGTAAGTAAGAACATCCACTGTATATTTTGTCTTTTGTCATTTATTGTAACTTGTAAACCAACTGGGCCCTGAGTTTGAAGAAATGGTAGAGAGATGTATGCCACCATGGTCTCTACCACAGTGCTAAACGGGAAGTGACTTCATTGTGGCCACCTTCCCTCTCTAGGGCCCAGCCATCATGATGACCTACCTGCTGATCTCAGGTCTGTTCCTGACAAGACTGAGGAGGCCCATAGGCAAGATGACAGTCACCGAGCAGCGCTACGAGGGAGAGTACCGCTACGTCAACTCTCGCCTCATCACCAATAGGTTAACAAACTAGCAACTGTTCAAGCTCTGTTACTGTACAACTGTTTATACAACACTACATTGTGCTTTTCTGTCTCTTTAGTGAGGAGATTGCCTTCTACAATGGGAACATGAGGGAGAAACAGACCATTCATGCCACATTCAAGAAACTGGTAGGTACAGTTTAGAAGTGTTTCCCACAAGATGAGACTGTGTTATTCCACAAAGGGAATGCATTTATCATGTTCAGTAGAATGAATAGTGATGTCATGGTGTACAGGAGTACACTTGGACATCACTGCTGCAAGGTGAGACATGAAGCACTGGTGGTCAACTAAAACAAGATTTTCACATGGTGTTGAGTTACTCTTTAAATTGTACTGTACAGCGGTGCTGTGTTACACAGGAAAAATCTTTTGCCCCTTTGTACTATTTACTGAAAGGCAGTTTGACACATGCAACATCTACATTCAATGCTTTGAACAGTTGAAAACGTGTGGAAATAAAAAATAAAGAACAGTAGCTCTGCCTACATGAGCTATAAGAGGAAAGGGACAGCAGCGTGTTGTACAGACAAACGTCAGGTTAATCTGACCTTTTCTTCTGAAAGGAACATTACTGTTTGCTTTCTCAGCTTCAGAATGTGAACATATTTATTTTGTCTTCCAGGTGGACCACTTGCACAACTTCATCTTCTTTCGCTTCTCGATGGGATTTGTGGACAGCATAATTGCCAAGTGTAAGGAAATATATTTCTTTCTTTAATGGTCACTATTTAGATCATATCATGATATTTATTAATTGGCCCTGCTGTACCAAATGTAAGCGAGAAGAAAAAAATGTTCCCTTTACAATAATGCACAATCAGGATAAAATAAACTTTTATTCAACACACCCTTTCAGCAACTGGTTTTGAGACAGATTTTCCCATGAAATGGGAGTATAAAGCTATTTCTTAATCAAAATAGCAATAGCTAATGAAAGTTGTGAGAGTCAATAACATTGTCTCTTGTTATGATACGGGGAATTTTGTAAAATTGGCCATATTAATAAAATTGGGCCCAATTAAATGGTAAATAAAGTGCTTCTATTCAAAGTGTTTTACAAGGTTTTTGCCGCTCATTCACCCGTTCACACACATTCTCACACACTGATGGCAGCGAGCTACCACACAGGCTTACCAATGGAAGCAATTTTGGGGTTCAGTGTCTTGCCTCAGAACAGTTTGACATGTGGATGAGTAAGTGGACAACCCACTCTACCTGCTGAGTTATGTGTTCTTTGTTCCTTATGTGACCACATGCTGTTTCTCTGCAGACGTGGCCACTGTGGTGGGCTACCTGGTCGTGAGCCGGCCATTCCTAAACCTGTCGCACCCCCGGCACATGCACAGCTCACACTCTGAGCTGCTCGAGGTCAGAGAAAGCTCGCACACACACCTGCTTTGTAAAACGGTTATTGGTTGCAAATTAAAAATCAAAACTATAAAATAGAAATGCATCTTTTGTTGAGAGCATTGATTCTGAGACAGTTTTGACTTTTAAGATTACAGATATTCATCGTACTGGAATAAATGAATGGAAATGTAAAGATGCCATGTTATTGTAGCACAATCTTTTGAAACCACTTATACAACTGCATAAGCACACAGAAATAAGGTGGTTTTGACAATAATCTTATTCCAGTGGCATCTACTCATAGTGAAAAACACCAATGACTCCTTGATAGAAAACACGTATAAAACATTACAGCTTGCTTTGCAGTAATGTTTGGGGGGCTGTGAGGTTTAACGTAATGGAGTTACTACAGTTCTGTGAATGCCTGGATGACTTCCAGTGTCAGTAAACAAATTGTATATGTCTTTTCACCTTCTGCTCAGGTCGTGATCTTATATAAACAAAGCTCCGTGTATGACCTGTAGGCTACCTGCGTCCCAGCTTTTGATACCATGTCTGCATAGCCTAGATTTTTCTCTCCCTAAAAGGCTCAGAGCGGCATGACTGAAAGTCATCCAGGAATTCGCAGAACTATGGTTACCCCTACAACACTTGTTCTGTTTAACAGATGACCGCCTTCCTGACCGCCAGTGGGAGTAAACAAAGTGAATGATTTTGGACCTCTGGTCAGCTGCAGAAGCCAATGGTAGAATAGCTGATACTAGTGTGGCCCCAGAATGACGGATGACATATGAGGGGGCAGGTTTTACCAGTTAGCTTCCTTGGTTTCTTGGTTCGAGTCCAGCCTCTGGCGTTTCTATACACCATCCTTGTGGAAGAGCCCTTGTATTCTGTAAGATCTCACAAATTGAGGGCTCAAGGTCAGTTAGATGTTGAAGGAGACTCTGAGACGGATGCTAAACCCTCCTGTCCAGCTAGAGCTGGAGATACCTCCTCACTGGGAGCTGCCAATGATTCCCTTCCAACATACTGAGGAGTGTGGAGAACCATATCGTCAATGGCCACTAGGAGGACCGTGTAATCCAACAGTCTCACCCTGTGAAGCGTGGGTGATTTCAGGGAGATCGGAGGGAATGCATAGGCAAGAGGATGAATCCCAAGCACCAACGTTTCACAGACGGCCCCAAGCAGAGAGCGAGAGAAAGCTGGTCGAGCGAGCTAGAATGTATGAAGCGTTGTGTGAACAAAGCAGTGAATCAAATTTTCACAGCTGTTCAGTTTTTAATGCATCCAAAGTCACGCTTCTTCCTGTCTTTGCCCTGCGTGTTTGTGTAGCTCAGCCACAGCCTCGGTCTAACAGACACACAGAAGTCAGTCAGAGAGCAGAGGAGAGACAGAGAAAACCAGGTCGCTAAGTTTTTAGAGTCTTGGCTGTTTTCTCTCCTATTAGCACTAGCTTCACATTGAAGCGTTCGGGCCTATTTTTTTCTCAATTGTTATAATTTTGGTGCTGGGTATTTTCCTTTGGGGGCACAAAAAATGAGGTGCTATCCAGGAAGATCCCTCATAGCCTACGTGCCATTTGTTCATAATAAGATCTTGATGTGCGCGGTGTGTGTGAGGAGACAAATCCACTTTGTTGACTGTCATTGGCAGTCAGTAAGGAATGAAAAAGAACTGATGTGACCTGTGTGGCCTGTAGGACTACTACCAGAGTGGGAGAATGCTTCTGAGAATGTCCCAGGCCCTGGGCAGGATTGTACTGGCTGGCCGAGAGATGACCCGCCTCTCAGGGTGAGTGTGACAAAGTGTATCCAACAAATAATTCATGAAGTGATTTAAAAATATAGATATATTAGTTATATTAGTCTTATCTGGTAGATGTTAGTCCTTTTTCTCGTCTCTTGGCTACAAAGTCAGTAATTCACAATGCATGTCATGAATTAGCATCTTGGCCGTTACATGGAAAATTCACTACATTTTATGTGGATGTCCAGTCAGTGTTGATGGTACATGCAGTCGATTGACGAAATGAACTACTGTGTGCATGCAATATTGAGTTCAGCAAGCAGTTCTTCCTGTATCCAGCACAGTCATTTGACCCAGACACTGATGTAGTTGGAGGCAAGGACAAAGTACAGGCTACTTCATCTTGGATTTTGTAGCTTCCACCTCTGGGTAGCCAAGGGCTGTGCTCTAGATACCCCTCTCTTTGCTTGTATTCATTCATTCATTCATTCATTCATTTCATTTATTATACAGGAAAAGTTTAATAGCAACAATTTAGTTACAGTAAACGGGCCTGACTCAGTTTAAAAACTGGTTTACAGCAGGTTCCTGTTCTGCAGCAACATGGAACAATGTACACAATTTCAACACATTTATACAGGACATTATTATTGACTAGACAGATACAAACAAGAGAAACATTAAATACGGGGAAACAAGACTAAAAACAGATTTCTGACCGTAGTAGTTTATGTATGATGGAACTGGAATGAGTGCCTATGAGACTGACCTAGTGAAGCGTAGTGGTCTCATTGTCCATGGGAACATGAGGGAGAAACAGACCATTCATGCCACATTCAAGAAACTGTTTCCCACAAGATGAGAATGTGTTATTCCACAAAGGGAATGCATTTATCATGTTCAGTAGAATGAATAGAATTCCTGTGTCACCTTTGACACAGTGATGTCATGGTGTACAGGAGTACAGTACAGGAGTATCTTAAGTGCTCGGTAATATAGTCGTGCTATTGGTTCAGTGATGTCCTTAGTGGTAAGAGACCAGATTGGAAGACAGTAGGACATTGTTGAAAACACAATGGCATGTAGATAAGTTTCAGAAACCGAAACCGAAAGATATGACCTAATCTTGTTATACATATAGAGTTTCTGATTCAACTTTTTTGTTAATCTAGAAATGTGTTCCAGATATTTAAGGTGTGAATCAAGTAGCACACCAAGGTAATTGTAGGTCTTTGTGATGACAATTTCTTGGTTTGCAAAAGTAATAAAGTTAGTAAAAAGACTTTTTCTGGGTGAATGAAATTACATACATTCAGTTTTCTTTACATTAATGGTCAGATGGTTCCTTTTCAGCCAATCATGTAGCAAGTGAAGATCAAGTGATAGTTTGGAATTTATGACATTAAGATTTAAATCAGAGAGAAAAATCAGGTATCATCAGCATACAGTAAGCATTTTGAGTGTTTACACACTCGAGGGAAATCATTGATATATAAAAGAAAAAGTAGGGGTCCAAGAATGCTGCCTTGTGGAACGCCCATGTCACAAACTAAAGGTATGACATGATTAATTTTGACTGTCTGCAACCTGTTCGTCAAATAAGAAGAGAGCATTTCCATCACAGATGAAGACAGTTCAAATGAGTGAAGTTTATTTAACAAGATGTGGTGGTTCACTGTATCGAATGCTTTACGGAAATGAATAAAAATAGCTCCAGTGATGTGACATTTGTTAAGAGAGTTACACAATTGCTCAGTAAAGAGTAGTAATAGACATGGTTGATTGCAAACTAGCTACGTTACTAGCCATACAGGAGGATATGGCCGACTGGAAACCTCCCGAACCTGAACCGCAGAGAGCATACACCTACTGGTGGACCCTTTGCTCAAATTGCCAATAGAAACTAATGGAATATTGAGCCGTATGGCTGTCAGACATTCTGTTGCTTTCAGATATGTTTCTCCTGTAGATAATTTCCCATGTAATATCATCCCTGCTGACTCAGCACACATGCAGGCATGATTTAGTCTTCCCTCCTCTTTTTTGTCTTTTGTTTGGTGAAGTAACCTCTTTAAATATTCATCTGGCATCTTTTCACCTCAATGATAAATTAATTCATTTTAATTCAGTTATAAACGACCTGGACTTTAAGCACCTATGTTTCAGCAGGTTTTCTTCTCATGTTCAAAACTTTCTGCACATATCTTTTCTACATATCTGTGTTCTCTGACATACTACGAGGCTAATGTCAGCATTTGATGGGAATTCATATTTTTTATAGGGGCAATATGTAGTTTTTTAAATAAATTTAACGAAAAGACACAAGAAAGAGGGATGACCAAATCATGCCTACATGTTTGCTGACTCAGCAGGGGTGATATTACAAGAGTGTTTGATCTACAGTAGAAACAAATCTGGAAGCAACACAGAATGTCTGAGAGCTGCACTACATTATGTTCTGTTAGAATTTAAATTCTCATTTGCCACCTGAATTTACGTAAATAATATTTCGACCATAAATTGGTACTGGAAATTAGTGTTCAATGTTTAAAATTCATTCAGCATAGAAGATTTCTTAAAAACAGGTGTTAAAATCTCGTTTTGATCTCGTGAACACAATCTCATGTCTCGCTAGCTAAGTGTCTTGTCACACCCCTAGTAATCAGTAGTACAGTACATGGAAATATGTATATGAAGTTCTTCTTTCCTTATTCCTATGTTTTTTGTACATTAGCTCAGTCCATGGAAATATAGGTGCTGGTCATATAATTAGAATATCATCAAAAAGTTGATTTATTTCAGTAATTCCATTCAAAAAGTGAAACTATAATGTATACATTCATTCCACACAGACTGATATATTTCAAGTGTTCATTCCTTTTAATTTTGATGACCATAACTGACAACTAATGAAAACCCCAAAATCAGTATCTCCCAAAAATTAGAATATTGTGAAAAGGTTCAATATTGACGACACCTGGTGCCACACTCTAATCAGCTAATTAACTCAAAACACCTGCAAAGGCCTTTAAATGGTCTCTCAGTCCAGTTCTGTAGGCTACACAATCATGGGGAAGACTGCTGACTTGACAGCTGTCCAAAAGACGACCATTGACACCTTGCACAAGGAGGGCAAGACACAAAAGGTCATTGCTAAAGAGGCTGGCTGTTCACAGAGCTCTGTGTCCCAGCACATTAATAGAGAGGCGAAGGGAAGGAAAAGATGTGGTAGGAAAAAAAGTGTACAAGCAATAGGGATAACCGCACCCTGGAGAGGATTGTGAAACAAAACCCATTCAAGAATGTGGGGGAGATTCACAAAGAGTGGACTGCAGCTGGAGTCAGTGCTTCAAGAACCACTGCGCACAGACGTATGCAAGACATGGGTTTCAGCTGTCGCATTCCTTGTGTCAAGCCACTCTTGAACAAGACACAGCGTCAGAAGCGTCTCGCCTGGGCTAAAGACAAAAAGGACTGGACTGCTGCTGAGTGGTCCAAAGTTATGTTCTCTGATTAAAGTCAATTTTGCATTTCCTTTGGAAATCAAGGTCACAGAGTCTGGAGGAACAGAGGAGAGGCACAGAATCCACGTTGCTTGAAGTCCAGTGTAAAGTTTCCACAGTCAGTGATGGTTTGGGGTGCCATGTCATCTGCTGGTGTTGGTCCACTGTGTTTTCTGAGGTCCAAGGTCAACGCAGCCGTCTACCAGGAAGTTTTAGAGCACTTCATGCTTCCTGCTGCTGACCAACTTTATGGAGATGCAGATTTCATTTTCCAACAGGACTTGGCACCTGCACACAGTGCCAAAGCTACCAGTACCTGGTTTAAGGACCATGGTATCCCTGTTCTTAATTGGCCAGCAAACTCGCCTGACCTTAACCCTATAGAAAATCTATGGGGTATTGTGAAGAGAAAGATGCGATACGCCAGACCCAACAATGCAGAAGAGCTGAAGGCCACTATCAGAGCAACCTGGGCTCTCAGAACACCTGAGCAGAGCCACAGACTGATCGACTCCATGCCACGCCGTATTGCTGCAGTAATTCAGGCAAAAGGAGCCCCGACTCAGTATTGAGTGCTGTACATGCTCATACTTTTCATGTTTGTACTTTTCAGTTGGCCAACATTTCTAAAAATCCTTTTTTTTTTTATTGGTCTAAGTAACATTAAAATTTTTGGAGATACTGAATTTTGGATTTTCATTAGTTGTCAGTTTTAATCATCACAATTAATTGAAATAAACATTTGAAATATAATAGTCTGTGTGTAATGAATGAATATAATATCCAAGTTTCACTTTTTGAATGGAATTACTGAAATAAATCATCTTTTTGATGATATTCTAATTATATGGCCAAAGGCCGGGCACAGTGTTAGTGATGGCAGCCTCCCTAGGTAAACAAGCTGACGTAGATCTTTAGACCAATCCTCAAAAGATTACGGCACCACTGACACGGGCATGCCTGGCCCGCAGCAGTCTTATGTGTGAGACTGTATCCGTGTTATCTGCATTTTGTTCTATGGCGGTGCTGAAGGAAGGACCCAGACCAAAAACGGCTACTAGTTGCTCTTTTAATTGGAACTGTATATTGGTTGTGTCTCTGTAAGTCAGAAAAATAATTTAAATGCTGTCTGGTATGTAGTCTCTCTCTCTGAAGGTGGACAGAGGTCATCAGTCCACCTTCTCACTCAGCGTGGACTGAGAGTTGCGTAGCATTGACATAAAAAAAAACTGTCACCTCTTAAAGTGACAGTACAAGTATTAAAACTTCAGTTGGAATAGGCTACAAAAGACATTTAAACAAAACAAAGGTTATTTTATATTTGTAAGGATTTGTTGAAGTTTCAAACATAAAAATAAAGCTTACCCTGTTACAATACTAAGGAAACAATAAAATAATATTGTCCCTTTCAAATGAGAGTGTCAGGAGCTGTTCTGATGAATTCACTTGTTTATCTGATGTCCCCCACAGATTCACAGCTCGTATCACTGAACTGATGAGTGTCCTGAAGGAGCTGAATGCTGGCAAATATGAACGCACCATGGTCTCCCAGCAGGAGAAGGGTACACATGACTCCTAATTGTAAAGAAATATGTCTGCTGAGTTCTCACCTCAGATAGCTGGAGCTGTGCAGCTTAACAGATTTTTGGTTTATTCCATTCGCCGTAGAATCAGACACGGCAGAGAAGCTCACACTGGTGCCTGGAAGTGGTCAAATCATCAACAAAGATAACATCATTAAGTAGGTCTTTTATTATTCTTTACTTGAATATACATCAGCATATTATTGTTATTTTCATGAGCTCAGCTTTAAATCACCTTTTTTTTTTTTTTTTCAGATTTGACCATACCCCACTAGCAACACCTAATGGAGACATCTTGATCAGAGACCTCACATTTGAAGTAAAGCTCATCTTTCATTCCCATATGTTTATTTGAGTTTAGTTGATATATTGTATTCCAACATATCATTGTTTCCCTGTCCCCTGAAGGTAAGGTCTGGCACAAATGTTCTCGTGTGTGGGCCTAACGGCTGCGGAAAGAGCTCTCTGTTTAGAGCACTCGGAGAGGTGAGAAACCTTCCAGTCCAATAGTGACGTAATGAAAAGCACACTCAGTCAATATAGTCTGCACAGTAATGTACATATGTTCAATCTACACATGTTTTTTTTTTTGTTTTTTTTAAGTATAAAATAATTATAAATGTTTTTTTAAAGCTGTGGCCATTGTTTGGTGGACAACTGACAAAACCTGAGAGAGGGAAGCTCTTCTACGTACCACAGGTAAATATACTCTGTAGGCCATGTTTTTTGTTCCACCCACTAACAACAAACATTATCCTCAGAACAGCTATGTTCCAGCGCTAACATTTAACTTAGTTTATGCACAAGGAAATATTGCTAGACAGAGCAAAATTTCTTCAAGCCAGACAGAATCTGTATTTGTAAAGGTGAGACACATGTCAATATTTGCAATACAACTATACACTGATATATATATATATATATATATATATATATATATATATATATATATATATATATATATATATATATATATATATATATATATATATATATATATATATATATATATATATATATATATATATATATATATATAAAAATAAATAAAAACAAAGACAATGTGTATTTAAATTATAAAATAAAAATTTAAGAAAGATTAAATGCGAACCAATCTGCAGCCAATGACACATTTATTGACTGCAATTTCTATTTACATAATAATATTTACCAATACGTTTGTGATAAACCAATTTTGGCCAATCATTTCAGCCCATAAAGTGACTCAGGCTCCAATTGCAAAGTAATTGGAGCATGAGTTTCTATTCATTTGTCTACAACACTGCAAACATTTTAGGTAGGTGTGGGAACAATTTGTAAAGTAAGAATGCTTTCAAAAATAGACATGTTAATGTCAATGAAAAATCTAAATCAAGTCAATATTTGGTGTGACGACCCTTTGCCTTCAAAACAGCATCAAATCTTCTAGGAACACTTGCACAAAGCCAGGGATTATATAGGCATATTCTCAGATGTATGATTAAACATTATACCAAGCAGGTGCTAATGATCACCAGGTTGACAATCATTAAACATAATAATAATCTGAAACATAAACCGCTGTTTAGGAGGAATACAACTGGGTGAGGAACAGCCAAACTCAGCTAACGAGGTGAGGTTGTTGAAGACAGTTTACTGTCAAAAGTCACTGACCATGGCAAGACTGAGCGCAGCAACAAGACACAAGGTAGTTATACTGCATCATCAGCAAGGTCTCTCCCAGGTAAACGGGGATTTCCTGATGTATCAAAGTTCATCTGAAGATGCACAAAAAAACTGGCAACACTGAGCAATGTAGACGCAGTGGTCGGCCAGATGAAGCAGGTGACAGACACTTCATGCTTACTTCCCTTGATGTGAGAAATCAGCTACTAGAAATAGAAAATATACTCCTGCCACCACCACCGCCCCAGTTGTCTGTCGTCCTGTGGTAAACACTGTACACCCATCTATTGTCTGAAGGAGTCTGGTCAAAGTGGCCTTCATGGAAGACTTGTGGACAAAAAGTGCAAAAAATATGCAAAAAAAAAATGCAGGAACTCTGAGGTGCAGAAAAAATGGGAGCAGGTGCTTTGAACTGATGAGAACGGAGTTGGAGATTTGGTTAAAATTAATGGTCTGTACAGGCAGACACTTATTCATCATGCAATACCCTCAGGGACATCTTATCGGGCCCCAAATTTATTCTGCAGCATGACAATGACCTGAAACATACAGTGAAAGCCATTAAGAACTATCTTCAGCTTAAAAGAAGAACAAGGAGTTCTGGAAGTGATGGTATGGCCCCCACAGAGCCCTGATCTCAACATCATCAATCCCCACTGTCTGGGAAGAACTGTGGGGAGTTATTCAAGATATGTGGGCCAACCTACCTGCTGAGTTCCTTCAAAAACTTTGTGCAAGTGTACCTACAAAAATTGATGCTGTTTTGTAGGCAAAGGGTGGTCACACCAAATATTGATTTGATTTAGATTTATATAATTTATAAGCATGTCTACTTTTGAAAGCATTCTTACTGTAAAGCATTTTTTTGCTCACCTGCCTTCACTTTTGCACAGTACTGTGTGTGTGTGTGTGTGTGTGTGTGTGTGTGTGTGTGTGTATTAGGGGTGTGACAATACACTGACCTCACAAGACAAGACCATACATGATATTGGGTTCATGAGAACGAGACAAGATTTTAACACTATTTTTAAGAAATCTTGAAATATATGAAACTTTTGAGCATTAAACAGTAACTGTTCTGCCTTTTCTGCATCAAGTTATGGTGGAAATGTTGTTATGTATTTAAAGGGAAACACAAAATTGGTTGAAGGTGACAAAATATAACAGAATATAATGCAGTGCAGCTCTCGGACATTCTGTGTTGCTTTCAGAGATATTTCTCCTGTAGATGAACTTTTCCTTTATCATCCCTGCTGAGTCAGCAAACATGCAGGCATGACTTAGTCTTCCCTCCTATTTTGGGTCTTTTTTTGGGGGAAGTAACCTAATTAAATGTGCATGTCGCACATTTTCACCTCAATGATAAATTAATTAATTTTCATCACTTTAATCAGCTATAAACTCGTGGACTTTTTGAATCTGCTGCTCCTGTGTTTCAGCAGATTTTCTGCTCATGTTCAAAACTTTCTACACGTTCAGGATCTCTCCCACATATCTGTGTTCAGAAAAATGTCAGAATATAACGAGACTAACATCACTAAAGGAGAAGTCATAATATTTATATAGCAATTTATAATATTTATATTTAAGTCGACCTGGCCTATACTCTGCTGTGCATTACGTTATTGCTCTGATTTTGTAGTATCCCCCTCAGACAGTCTCACAGACTCAGAACCGTGTGTGACGTCAGGATGAGACAGGGAGGTGGAAACTAACTGAAAACACTTCTGATCAGGCAGATATCTCACCATACAATTTTTAACTTCAGCACCTCTGATAAAATGCAACTCTCATTCCCAAACAGGGCAAGTTTGTGCCTCAGATTTTAGATGTTTTTATTGCGAAACTCTACCAGTTACACGGTCACATACTGGCTGCGACTCACAGCGTGAGAGCGGGTGCACTTGATTACTACCATGGCGTACACCGTTGTCTGATCAGCTGGGCGGAGTTGATCCGCCCAGCGAGTCGACATTGTACATTTGTTTTTAACTGCGTGAGCAATATTATGTGTGGTGTGACAGCGTGTGAAAGTGTCAATTGTGTGAGTTTGGCGAGACAGCTTTTAACCTGACAACAAATCTCAACACATTTTAATCTCCCGAGATCATCACAACCCTAATATTTAATATATAAAAACTGTACAATGTTATAATTGGATGGCTTCATGCAAACCTGTTGTATTTGTCCAGAGACCCTACATGACTCTAGGTTCTCTGAGGGACCAAGTTATTTACCCTGACACCTATGAAGACCAGAGGAGGAAAAACATCTCTGATCAGGTGGGACACAACACATATTTCACACTTTCATCGTCTGTGTGTGTTTGTAATTCCATGCCTTATCGCGTCTTACCTCACCTTGTGTCCAGGTGTTGAAGGAGTACCTGGACAATGTTCAGCTGGGTCACATCCTGGACAGGGAGGGCAGCTGGGACTCAGTCCAGGACTGGATGGATGTCCTCAGTGGAGGAGAGAAGCAGAGAATGGCTGTAAGGGCTGGGGATGTTTAGTCGCTATCAATACCAGTAAAATTCTATGATTCTAAATACCAATTCAGTACCATGATAACAAAACAATAAATCCTATTTTGAGATGCATTCCTTTAACAAAAACATTTGAACTTTACAAAAAAACAACTAACAGCTGGGAGAGTTGTGAGAGGATGTCCAGGACAGATTAAGGTGATTTGAAATAAATGACAACATTTTTATTTTTATTTTTTTTACAAACACTCGTGTGAAACGTTTAAGGGTCACTAATCTATACTGGCAGTGATTTGAGATTTCTATGTTTAAAAACAATAGTTATGACGATTGAAATGGATTGTATTGCACTTTTAAGACGGTCTGTAACTCTGCCTATAGTAACACGTTAGACAGACTTTCAGTTCTTTGCACTGCAAACTGCACCATCAACTGAAACGTCTGCCTAAATGAGCTCTCATATCCCAAAACTAGGAGAAATCGAGGCTTTGACACAGCTGGTGAAGGTGACAACAGTGGAAACCGACCAATGTTAATTACTAAACTAACTCCACCCTGGTTTCTATGCACAACTCTTTCTGTTTTGGCAAGTCGAGAAAGAGCTGTCGCTGCAGCTGTACTTGTCGCTGTCTTCCACGTGTTGGATCCCCAGTACCTATGATACCGTAGAAAAAGGCGTACTGTCATTTTAGGATTGTAAAATCAACTTGGTACCAAAGTATCAGTTCTTGTCACATTCGTAGTAAAGACTCACCGACTCCCTGTCAACAGGTTGTACAGGAAACTTGACAGAGTGAATGATTTGTATTATTAACAACACAAGTCAGACAATAATCCATCTATTTTCCAAACTAGAGACCTGGTTATACGTACTCAAATCACTGCCACTACTACTACTGATTCATTGTTGAATTGAGGCCTGGTTTTCTTTTTATCATGTCAAAGTGAGGAACTGCAATCACAATACCCGTTTCAGTCAAAGTAGGCAGCCTGTGAATATGTTTAAGAATACTGTGGACCATCATTTAAGATTATTGTCAAAGGTCTATATGCCACAATACCTATCGTCTGGTTTGTAGAGTTCACTATTAAAAATCTTAGACATGACATTTTAACAAGAATAAATTCTACTGGACTTCATGGTTCTGGTTTATACATAGCATTTTTTTCACTATATGTTTGGTAATGATTCTGGTGTTATCAAATGATGAGTGTGTCTGTTTATTTATGTAGATGGCCAGACTGTTCTACCACAAGCCCCAGTTTGCCATTCTGGATGAGTGCACCAGTGCAGTGAGTGTAGATGTGGAGGATTTCATCTACAGCCACTGCAGGACGGTACGACCCAACCACACGTCATACACACAAATACACATCTCTGATAAACTAGGTTTACATCTGGTCTCACTCAGTACCACGGTGGTTACAATCCACAAGCTGTGCACTTCGCGGGTCAGTTTATTAAACGTAACGACTTTATTAAACATACTGCTGATGGACAAAGTGAGCAGAGCATACAGGGAGAGAGAGAGACAGGAAGAGGTGGGGCAAGCTAGTGTGTTCCCAGTGAGAGACCAGAGGCAAGTTCATTCTCAAAACGGTTTACAACGGATTGAACGACATGTTTCCAACGTTGTGCAACGGGCTTCGGGGGATGTTTTTTTCTGTTTGGTGGGCGTGTCGCAGGTGTTATCCAATCAGCTGTGAAAAGTTTGTAAACATAACGTCGTTAAAAAGGCAGGAAAATGCAGTGCGCTTGTGCACACAACAGGGGGTTCGAGGCAGCACCGTTTCCATTAAACAAAACGTTTTGCTACGTTTTGTTGGCTCTGAACTCGCCCCAGAGGTGGGAGTGTGAGCGTGGGGAGAAGAGACGGGGACCAGCTTCAAGTAGTGACACACTGAACAGTAGTAGTGAAACACTGAAATAAAGTTACACTGTCTTAATGAGAGCTCAACAGTCGGGGAGTGGGTATGTCATGGTTCTGTCTCACAGAACCGTGAGAGGAGGCCGTGGACTTTAGTGTCACGGTTTCTCTACCTTTAGCACAGGTAGATTAGAGTCTGAAAGTCAGCTCTTTACCATTTGTAATTACCAGGCTTTCCCTCTGGGTTTAGTGCTATAAAGCAGTCCATCAAATGTTATTATGCACAGGACAACCTGGTGGTACACAAACAAGGTCATTTTAGAGGGCAGTTGAGGCTGCCAATGTTTATTAATCTTTTGTTTAGGAAAATTCAAATGTCTGATTAATGTTGTAGTTATTCACATCCTGTTTATGTGGATTTTTGAAGGTTTCTACCTTGTTGAACTGGAGTCTAGTACTACCTGTGTTTTCTTTGATCCACAGGTGGGCATCACCTTGTTCACCGTGTCCCACAGAAAGTCTCTGTGGAAGCACCACAAGGTAATGACTGTAAATCATTCGTTCTCTTGGTCACCTTTACTGTTTCCCTGTAGTATGTTGTTTTTGAGAGAGAGAGAGAGAGACCAAGGCACTGAACTGGTCAGCCCACTTACGGCTATTGCTGAATGCTAGTGAATGCTAAAACACTCTTCTAATGCTATTATATTTTATTTTTTCTTCTTTATAATGGGTTTTTATACTTAACATTTTATCTACTTGCACCAGACACACTCTGTTGAGACTAAACACACATAAAACTTGCCAACATTCTGTAAGTCTGACAGCTGATAGATTTGCATGCATCGACAGATTTATGTTTAATTTGTAGAATACTGCTTACTTTCTGTGCCTTCTTTCTTTCTTAACGGACTTTGTGTTTTATGTTTTCATCTCTCTCATGAAGTATTATCTTCACATGGATGGGAGAGGGAACTACGAGTTCAAGCCCATCACGGATGAAACTGTGGAGTTTGGCTCTTAATTGACTGCTGCCGTTGGCCACAAATGCACTGCTCTGAAAAATCAGTCCATTAATTCCCTGCACTCAAGATAGAAATTATACCTAAAACAAGAAAATGTTTTTAATCATTTGTAACTCAACAGTGTTTCCTTTTTATGTTTTCTGTTATTTAAAGCATCACTTTAGTCTTGTCTAATCATTATTTTGTTCAGTGTGATTATAAAAACATGTAATTTATATTGCCAACTTCTAGGTTGTGTTTTACTCGCGCACAACAGATATTTGAGTGGAGGTGGAAGTATACTTCACAAGTGATCATATCTCACAAAGCTAACAGGTTAGCATTACCCTGTAGAGATAAGCTAGATACCACAGAGGTCTTTGAGGCATCATGTCCCACAGTTAACTGTGTCCTGCACAGAATAATACTGGATGTATGCACAACTTGATGCCTCCTGGATGTGCACTTATACAAGTAATCTGTCCACAGCTGATGGAAGATAATAGCAGCCAAGGCTGGTAATAATTTTCAGGCCTTGTTATCTTAAAATAACAAACAGCAAGTTTTGGCTTTTTTCTTTTTCTTTTTTTTTTTAAACAGTTTCCAAGGAAACGGTTAATTATCATGTCACCTTAAGGAATTATAAGTGTCTACTTGCTTCCTTCTGTAATTTTTTGCTCTGTCCATTTCTGGCTCTTTTTACTTGGATTAGCATCTAAGTAATGAGACATGGAAATCATTTAATCACTAACAGGAACATTTCAGTAACTCAGGCATTCAGAAATGTGTTGAAAATATGAATTCACTAGAGGAAGGCTGTCTCTCAAGATACCCATAAGGAAAAAAAGAAAAAATCTGACCAAAACATGACTTGATGCGGTAATAGTTATATATCTGATATGTAGTATGGGGAAATTTCACATAGAGTTCAACTTTGATGAACTTGATGAATTGCTACCATTGACCAAGCCATTGTAGAAGTGCTGACTTTTGTAAAGATTGTATGAGGCTGATAAAGAAACAGAACACAATGAAATCTATTTACAACTGCATTCAGCTTCCTTTTCCACTGGATTGTTGATCATGTTACCTGAAATCTGAAGACTGAGGGTCTGCACTGAACAAACAGCTAATCATGGTGAATCTTATTATTAACCTTTACATGAATAACAATTCTGTTTCTTGGGTTATGGGATTAAAAGTTCTTCCAAAATTTGGATAACTGTGTTGATGTCCAATTTTACATGAGCTCTATGAAGCTGGGGACTGGGTCTAAAGTGCCATCTGATAATGGATCACTGGTACACGAATATTCAGATAAAATCATTCCTCAACCATTGCTCAACACCACTCTGTCCTGTCAATCTAACACAACGGTACTGTAACTTTATTGTGAAAATGTGAAGAAGGAGCCTCAGCTATACCCATGGTTTTCCATGTATAAGACTGATGATCTCACTCTGCATTAAAAAAAAAAGTAGGTGTAATTCTTCATAAAGAGTTCTTTTTTTTTCTGCCTGTGGGTGGTTGTGAGAGTGATAAGAACTGAAAAAGATCGATTGCAGTTTAATCAAGATTCCCTAATGGATTATTCAGTAGGTCAAAGGTTACTCTCCTGTGACTGCAGGAACCTGGACTTAACACAAAGGCAGAATAGTAGAACAGTACTGGACTGGTATCATTTTGTGAGGTGTATTTCAAACCGGGACATTTCTTATGTGTTGAAAATCAGTAAATATCAGATCATTAAAGTGGTTCAGTGTTAATGAAGGCATGCTTTGTCAGAGATCTCGTACTTCCCTTTGCTTTATAAAACAAAATGCTCACACCAGTTTACTTGTTGACCTCAAACTGGGAATTAGTGCTCTTAATTTGTGATTTTTTTTTTAAACCCCAAACTGCACTGCCATTGAAGAATAAAATGTTCTGCCACAAGTATGAAAGTCCAAATCTGTTCTAGCAGCCACTATAGTTCAATGAAATCTGTGAGTTTAAAGGCCCTGCAAACCCTGGATAAACACACAGGGTTTACCTCTGGTTATGGCTGATCTGACTTTAGACCTCTTCTCAGGGCAGAAACACAATAAGTAGTTATAAGTACCTTGTGAACCACCAACACTTCCCAACTGTCGGTGGTAGGAAGATCTGGGGGAGATGCTAGGTGTGAAAATAAATGGGATGCAGTGACTGCACCTAGCTCACTGCATTCTGTGTTTCTAACGTCAAGAATGTGTGGGCGTGTACGGACTGCGATTGCTTTATATGTGACTGGCTCTTCCGTTTTGTTTTGTTGCACCTGCTAGGGTGGGAAAAATTCCACCTCTAACTGTTATTGGTACTTGGTGTCCCATCAGCTCACATCATTCCCAGCATAACTCTGCCCAATTTTAACCATGAGCAGAGGTCTAGTCAGCCAAAATATCTGAAAACACCTGTAAACGCCTTTATGAATCATCCTCAACAACAAATTTAAAATATATTTTGACAGTGCTTCTCATGATATCTTGATCTAGACCAGCAAACCAACATTTCAGCACTCCTGTACAGTCTTACTGTAGCAGAGGTAAAACAAGAAAGCCAGCAGCTGGTTGCACCAGCTGTGTGCAAGTTCAAACCTAGTTATAATATAAATTATAGTAAGTGATTCACACACTACTAAAATAAAAGCAGTTGCACCACTGAGATAAGTTACAACAAAACTCTTAAGTAACAACTTAATAATTATACATGTCCTAGGGTAGGTGTAAATTATACACACTAATGGTAAAACTGCAGTTTTTCTTTCCCACAGCATGATTTTTCATTAATTGCATGTGATTTTGTACCACAGTAATCCAGTAGAGACCTACTTTATTGATATATTTCAATAGCGATCTAGCTTACTATGATGTGCTTTGCCAACATTTCTGGACTACTACTAAGTTTTCTTTGACATTACTTGTACTTCTACTTGAGCACAAGGTATATCTAAAATAACTCTTCCCACAATTCAGTGCTATACCCTCAACTTCCCACTCTGTGTACTGGGACCTTAAGAGTTGCAACTGACATTGTATGTGACAATGATGAACAAACTGTTTTCCAAAGTTACTGCAGTGTACGTTCTGAGTGAACATCTTCCATGATGATTCAATGCCTTGTCAGAGGATGATTATGGGAACACTAATTTGTATAGGCCACTGCTGTAGGCTTACAGGGGCCATAGTGACCTCTAGCTGTGAGTTTTCAGATTGCAACTACTACCTTCCCATTTCAATAACTATTTGCATATCTTTCATTGGAGAGGCTGAGCAATGTCAACATTGCTACATTTACTGGATCATAATGAGCTAGCTTGCATGTATTCAGGCAGGATTCTAAAAACATATTGTTTTGCATTCATCATAAATGTTCATGTCACACCCCAGTCACACCTCCCGAGTTGATCACTATCCAGGCATTCACCAGAGTAATCCACCCCTGTAACTTAGAAATGGGGATAACAAAATCCATAATGGCGACGTACAACAGTGTGTCTGATATTATTTTGACCACGGCCTATCCGTGGCCCCGTGTACAATCTGCAGTTGACAGGAGGAAATAGAGAGAGACATGTTTTCATGTCCGCAAAGGACTCAAACAACCTGTACCTCAGAAAATGGAAACTTCCAGGCACTTAAATCCAGTGGGCACGAGGTAACTTCGACAGTGTCTGTCAAATTTGACTTATTGGGAAGAGGGTATGCTCAGGTCAGAATTGAGCTGTATTTTGGTTTTGTGTGTATGAATTCCCCACAGAGTGATGGTTATGTGAGCTATGGACTCCTTATTGTGTTGTTGAATTATCTTTTGGGTTTTGACATTTTTAATTTAATAAACTGATTTATATTGAAAATCTGGTTGCATTGTCACTGATTGTTGCTGTGTTTATTTGGTTGTTCGGATTTCATAAAAGTGGGTGTATAGAGCACCGACTCATGTATCTATGGGGGATTGATACATACATAAGCAAACAATTACACTGTTGAATAAGGCTTCAGCTGGCACCCCTAAAAAACATACAGGCAATCCGCGATGGCAAATAAAATGAGGGCCTGCATGACGGGCCAGTATAAGATACAAAATTACTTTCTTGAACTTTGAATCATGCAAAGCTACCGTACAGGAGTCACAGAACTACACTAAAGGGCTGGAAATGCAGCATAATAGATCCCCTTTAAACACTGAAACACAACTCTCTCTACTAGACATGGACTTATGTGATGGGGAGGGTCTTGCTGCTCCACCATTGATGTCCCCAGTGGAGAAGAAAGGATTAACTGAAACCCTGGAAGAATTGCAACATTCCAATCCAGAAACTGAACGTCATTGTAAGGAACTTGGAAGCTGAAAGGAAACATATTCAGAAGTCAAACTCTGATGGAAATCAAACAAGCAATCAAGGAGCAAGGATACTGTGACTTAAAGGAGTTGCTGGGGCAACAATAGATTAACTAAGAGGTCAGCTCACAAACTATCATTGAGATGTCATTGACAAACATGAGGTTATGTCCCCCATGGTTACTATAATCAGCCAGCTGCATGTAGCCTCCAACTACACAGTATTGTTGAGGAGGTTAAAATGAAAAGCAACAAACCCTCCCCGCACCTCCTCCAACTGTATCCACTACTGCAGTTCAGACTGCCCACTTAGCCGACTCATCTGAGTTGACACCTGTGTTGAAGGTACGCCTGCGCCTTCAATCCACCAAGCAACTTGCTGTTCTCTGGCGTCTGTGATTGGTGTGGCTGTGACTCGACCGACCCTGCCAACCAGGACTCTCCAATCAACACCTGCTGGACTACAAATAGGTTGTGTGTCCACAATTCAGGGTGACTGAGGCAGTGATCAGTTCGCCTTGCTGTTAGTTGTGTACCTCTTTTAGGTAGGGAATATCTAGAGTGTTTGTATTTCTTGTCTCTGTCTGTTGCCTGTCCAAGTGGCTTCAGTCAGTTTGACCCCTTTGTAAATCACATAGTGTGATAGTGCACCAAGTGTTGGCCGCTCTTTTGTTTGAGCATTGCTTGTTTGTTCACCTTGCATTATTGTAAAGCATATAGGTGCTGACCTCCTTTTGTTAGTGTTCTTTGAGCAGAGTAACTGTCTTTGGACAAGACCCTCTTTTGTTTCTCCTTTTTGTTGTCAGCACCTATATAGCCTCTTTTTGTTGTTTTCTTGAGTCAACTCCTTTTAATTAAACCTTTGACTTTAACCAGAATTCAGTTGTCCTTTTTTCCACCTTCATTTCAATCCCAAATCACTTGTTACAGCCTTACCTTAGCGAGCTGGCTTGTAACAACATCAACCCAGCTCTGTGTTACTGGATTCTGGACTTTCATAGAAATAGAATTCTGTCATGGTTTACATTTACATCTCACCACAACACAGTCAAAATATTCAAGTATGCGGACGACACCCCTGTTATTGCACTCAATAACAATGACAAGACTCAGTACTGCCAAGAGTTAAATCACACTGAACATTGGTGCAGTAACAACAACCCATCCATCCATCGTCAACCGCTTATCCTGCGTACAGTGTCGCGGGGAGTAACAACAACCTCATACTCAATACCTCAAAAACAATGGAATCAGCTGTAGACTTCAGGAGGATCTCTGAGTAACCCATAACCCTGGCAGACTTCAATTTCTTCAGCACCTACATGAGTTTCTCTAAAAATGAATATCAACACCAACGATATCATCAAAAAGCCCTAACAAAGATTGTATTTCTTCAGACAAGTGAAGAAGTATCATGTCAAAACATCTGTTGGTCCACTTCTACAAAGCCATCATTAGAGAGCATTCTCACATCATCTCTCACAGTCTGGTATGGAAGCTCAGACAGTCATACCAAGAACGGATTGGAGCGGAGTGCCACTAAAGCCTCCAACAAAATTGGTTGTGACCTTCCCCTAAGTCAACTCGTTGTACATAAAGCGCACATTCAACTGGGTAGCTAAAATATAACCAAGGACCTCTACCACCCAGCCCACCAGCTCTTCCAGCTGCTCCCCTCTGGAAGATGCTACAGGTCTATATCAGCTACTAGATTCAAAAACAGTTTCTTTACTACAATAGGTACACTTGTTAGTTGACCCTGTGATTGTGAATACTAGCATTACTGAACAGGTTTCCTCCTATAAATATTTTTGTATTATGGTGGAAAACAGATTGAGGTTGATTATTTATGTGCCCAAAGACTTCATTTCCTTTGGAGGCTTCGATTGTGTAGTGTCCATATTGAGATTATGTTAACCTTTTACAAGGTTGTGATGGAAAGCATTATAAAATACGTTATGGCTGCCTGGTTCTGCTGCCTGACTGTACAGTCTAAACTGTAAAAAAGTTCTAGACTCATGAACAAAACAAAAACTGCTATGAAAGTGATGGGCATGAAGGACCTACTGCAGTCACTTTAGTCAATGTTTAAGTGTGCTGACGTTAGATGCATTTAAATATTACCTTT